CACTGTATATATCTGTCTCTTTACTGGTTATTTGTGTATTCTCAATTACTGCATGTATAACATATTCTTCCTTTCTGGCATGTTGTGCCATTAAGGTGAAAAGGTACTTTTCCTTATGGCTTTTGCAGATTTTACTACAAACTTTGTATTTTTTCTTCATGTTTTGAGGGTTTCTTTCCTTTTTTTGAAGGTTATGCTGCTTATGAATAGACATGCTGCTTATGAATGGATCTCTATTCTTGAGTCTTTGTCCTACTTCTTAGGTTCTCTTGGTTCAATCTGGATATTTATTCTTCACTAATGGATGTCATTATTTTACTCCTTCCTCTGGATACATCCTGTCCAGCTGCTTTTGCTATGTGAAAGCATTTTTCAGGGCTTAAGTTCTCTTCTGTTCCATAGCCAATACTGTCTTTAAGCAGGAATCTTAATATCTTCAAAATTATTTGTACCCATAACTCTCTAATCTTAACTCATTTTAGTTTTTAGATTTTGATTATGGTAGTCCCAAATAGGCAACAAACTATTACTCCAACAAACACAACCACAGAAAAGCCCAGCTTTTCTCTACAGTATTAATCTCTCTTGGGCCTTTGTCACTATTTCTAGTCTTCCCAACACTATTTCTAGCAAAGCTGACTCACTCTTTCCTCATTTTTTCCCCTCCAACATAAAAAAAAAACAAACAATCACACAGAAAAACCTCTCTCACTTTTTCAGTTTCATTGTGAGCTCTATTTACAGGCCCAGTTGCCATATTTATGCAAGCTTTTTTTTATTTGTCAGGAATTTGGGATCTGTGGTACTGTGATACTCTTTCACTGTTCTTTTTTTGGTCTACATGTTAATCAGCTATTAGCTCTTCCTCAAAATTTTGTTAGAGAGGCTTGCCACCATGTTTCACATTGTACTTTTTGGCAGTTATAGTAGGCAGAAAGCATCTTATAAAGCTGATTTGTGAGAATCTTCACATAAGTGTTGCAGATCCAGCTGGCATACAAGTCATGGGCAAAGAGATTGGTTTCCTTTGCCAAATGCTTCTCTCCTTCAGCCTTTGTCCGTTTCTGTCTATGTAGCTTGATATAGCTAGGTCCCTTTAGTAAAGAATGCTTTGTACTCAACTTTCAGATACTTTAATGCAGAGAAGTGCAGTTGGTACAGAGATTGACCCATATTTTTTCGTGATGTTAACTCTAGTACATCAACAAGTGTTTTCAAAATCAGGATCAAGCTATATGTAGGGTAGTGGAAGAGCCACCAACAAGGTACAGAGTAGAAATGCTTCTGGGAGTTACATCTGAGAAGACAATGGGGAGCAGTATATTGTAGCAAGTGGATTTTACGCTTTTTGATTTCTTTTCACTTGCAGTGAAGCATGGTAATCTGGTTTGTAGGTGTTTGATATATTGACCATACTGGCCCAATTCTCATCTGGGGGGAAGGGACAAGATAGAGAAGAAATAATACATTTTTGGAAGCATATGCTAAGGAGTCAAAGAGGACCTCGAATTTCCATCCAACTGTGGAAAGAATGGCTGTTTCCTATCATGAAAAGGTGGAGGTCTTCAATGTGTTTCCCTTCGCAAAGAAGCATCACTTTGGTCTTGTCTGGATTCAGTTTGATCCATCTGTTCTTCATTTAAGAGCTAATTTCCTGTAGTTATTCTGATGTTTTATAGTGATGATAGTTGCATCAGAAAATGAGATAAATAGTAGATTGTCAGCAACATACTGTTAGCAATTGAACACATGCCATATCACTCTCTCTCTCAGCAGTCTCATGTAGATAGATGTAGATTATATGGATCCCTGTGGGATCCTGAAGGTGAGGACCTTGGAGGAAGGGCCTCATACCCACCACCTTTTTTTGAATTACATGTAGAACATGAAATGCCATACTACTGTGTTGCTAGGACTGTGTAATAGAGGATTCAGGTGTCCGAGAACAGGAATCTGGAGATTACAGTTCCATGGTTGGTGGAAGTTTTATAGATGCCTCCAGGAAGTTGTCAGAATTTCCATCTGTAGTTTGTATACCACTAGGAGTCCTGGTTCCTCTAGTCCTTTGCTTTACTGTACATATGGATATACTCAAACGTTCATTTCTTGATGGAACATCTCCTGCATCTGACATTGAGAACACAGGACCCTTCCTCCAAATTTTCTTAGCTTTTTTTTTTTTTTTAAAAAAAAAAAAAACAAAAAAACAACAACTTCTGGTATTTATCTTGGCCTGTTGTTAGTGGTGTTCTGGTATCTATCTTGGGTCTTCTGAGGGGTAGCTGTGCTAGGTTAGGGATGGTATTGAATCATGTCTTGGTGATACAAAAAGTCCAGGTGTTTCATCTGAAAGGAGAGTGCAGATGTGTTTTTTAACCAGAAACTTCACATTCAGCAGCAAGAACTTCTTGTCCTCAGCAATTGGCTGCAAATACTAGCTTTTGGTGCTTACTCTAATGTGTGGTGTTCTGGGAAGGTGACTCCTCACCCTCAACATACCAAGAATTTAGAAATGTAACACATAACAGTATGTAAGGTTTTGGACATACCTGTTTTTTAGATTCTCATGGCTTAGAACCATTGTACAATGTAGTCTCTAAGATTTCAGCCCTTGTGCAGGACTTAAGAGCAGGCAAGTTGTGCTGGAGTAACAATCTGAGGTCAGAATACTGAGGTGGTGTTTATTCAATTTTTTCAAGACTACTTTAATGATAGGAGAAAGTGGCAGGCAATTACCAGGTGGCATGTACCAGAGATGAGTGGGTAATGGCAGGGGTGCAGAGCTATGGCTTTTCCAGGAGAATGGAAGGCAAAAGAGTTGGTAGGTTATAAAAGTAAAACAGAATGTCCTCATCTGCTTAAAGCTGTGAACAATTTATCTCCTCAGTTTTGATCCATTTTCATTTCTGGATGTAACACCTTCTGCACCTGACATTGAGATGGCAGGTCCCTTCCTCCATATTTTCTTATAGTCAATGTGTCACTGGAAATGTGTATATCATAGTGCGAAAGATAATTTTTAGGACTATTGGTAATGCCTCAAGCTAATGTTGTGGTTAAATATGAAGATTAATTGACATCCTTTGTTTCTGATGTTTTGTGTAATATGAAGATAATTTGAAAGGAATCCATTATGGAGACAGATGCTCTTGCAAGTCAAGCCAAGCTGTCTGGGTTAAAACTCTAGGGGTAAGCATGGGAAAGATTAACGGTTTCAAAATATGTGGACAAGCCTTACCTGTTGAACAGGCCAATGGAAATCCATATATTCATATGTTTTCACTGCAGGGAGGATATTTGAAATGCAAATATTGTAGCAGAGACCTACCTCAATTAAAGGCAAAATTTGAAGAAATGACCTCATTAAGAAGTAAATTTGCATTACAAAACAGTAATTATGCTTAGCAAATCTCTACCCACTATGGACTGTCAGCACAGTTCTAATGCAAGTGATTCGCTTTTATGTGTGATATGCACATGAATACATACAAATCGTCTGCATTGCCAAAAACCCTAAACCTTTCTACCAACAAGTTTGTCGTTTATCAGATGCAAAACAATGTCAGTGTAGAATGTCAGTAATTAATTTGTCTATTCTGCAGGTTTATCTATGGTTGTCCAATGATTAATCCTATGTCATTTATTTCAGTAATTTACCAAGTTTATCCTTCTGCCACTGATTTTATCTGAAATTTCAGTGTACTAAACTGTGATATGCTCAGTTTGTTGTGCAGTTCCTTTCTGAAAAAAAATGTTAAATTGTCATGGCTTACATCAATATACATGTGATTATAAAACAGGACATTGTTGAAGTTGAGCAAATAATTTACTGTTAATATAATTCATTAAGGATGAGAATGAGTCTTTAGGTTCAAACAGAGCATGAGGTAATGTGTGAATGAATATGTTGCCTCTTTGACTCCATAAGTCAAGCATTATTCTTTCCTTCTCTTCTGATTAACACAAAGGAAGAGAAAACCCATGAATCCTTCCTCTTTTCTTCCAGGTAGGTAGGTGAGGGAGAAACTCTTGCTCTGCTCTGTATAAATGAATCATTGTCAGAATAGGTTCCGTATGACTACATGAAAGCTGGAGAGCTCGTTTCTTATTCCCCTGGGTACCAGCAGACGCGCAGATGTGTGCAGAGGGGTACAGTCCAAGACACATGCCCTCGTTATGGGTTAGGAAGACATCATGAATACTGCCAGTTTTCCGTACTTTTAAGTATTCATTAGAAGGTTTGAAGAAACTAATATGAACTTCATGAACTGCCATTATATCTATCTCCTTATAGAAAACCTCTGATATTTTGTGAGTGTGTGGCAGGCCATTTAAATTTAAATTTAAAGATTTTTATTTAGCTGTTTTCTCATTTGGAAAGCTCTTTCAGTGTAAGAGACTCTTCAAGCAGAGGAATAATAACTCAAAGGATGCACAGAAGAATAAAGATTCACAGATTTGCACCAATTACCTGAAACCATGTAACTAGTGAAAAATATAAAATTATATTTTTTTTCCCCATTAAAAACCATGTTCAATTTATTTAACCACCTTTATTTGCAGGCTATTATGTGCACCCTCACATGTACACTAACACACACACATATAAACATGTAGTAAGTTTCTAGTAGAGTTAAGAGTTTCAAGGAAAATGTGTCTTATTTACTGCTTAACTGTGTGACCAATGCACAAGTGTAGTAAAAATCTCAGAAATTCCTTCCTAGAAATTCCCATCCTAGTTTATTACTGAAAAAAAAAGTAGATCAGGGTGATAACAGTTGGCTGCAAAAATATTTTTTTTTTTTCAGTTTAAAAATAGTGCTATTGTTTAGTAAGCTATACTACTTAAATGTGTTAGTGTGGTATACTGGCTTGTCCTGGATAATTTTATTTTTTTTTCCTTAAAAATATCTTTCATTTCCACCTCCCACTAAGAAGGAAGGTATGTTTCCCATTAAGATATGAAGTGAGTTTCTTTTTCACTTTTGCCTTTTATATAGGGATACTGAATATAAAGGACTACAGCTCTCCTTGGATCAGGTCACAGCTACCAAGCCGGCATTCTCATACGCAAATTCAACTCCGACCATAACGGATAATAGAAAGGCAAGCAAATCTCGCCTCTCGAGCACAAAGTCAAAATCAAGGACATCACCATACCCACAGGTAGTTGTCTTTGGAAAACAAAATTAAATCCTTTTGCATATCTTGATTTTGACTGCTATTTTACCCAAGTAATTAGAATGGTCCAAAGAACATGTTACTCAAAGGGAATAAAGGATGACAAGTTATAAGATGTTGAGACAGGAATATGTTTCTTTAAACAGTTTCTAAAAAGCTGGAAACAGTTATGTTTCAGCATGCATAATAAATCATCATCAACAACAGTAACAGCACAGGGCTCAGAGTTAATGAGGAGTGGACAGAAGGACAAGTGAAAATGTTGCTTTTGAAATACTTGGTTTGTGAGGACTGTGAGTTTTGCCATTTGAGAAAACTTGGTTTATCTTATTTACTCTTTGATAATTCCAACATATCTAGAAAGTTGCCAGATGTTTGACAGCAGTTCAACACTGAATGCTGTTCCAAAGGAGTGAATTTTGAGAAGGGAAAAACAGCAAGCTGGCTAGCTGAATTGGAACAAGGAAGCTTTTCTGTGTATGAAGCTTTGAAAGCTCTGGTAGGCCATTGACATCAGCAGACTTTAATTTCCCAGATTTCATTTTAAGGCCTCGTGTTTTAGAAACATGCCCCTGCTTGTAGAATGGACCAGATTCAACTGGGTCTCTAACTTGCAGCTTGCCGAACGCATCTATGCAAGTGATTTCTGCAGACAGTGCCACAGCATTTGCATACTTACATCGTCATCTGTTTAGCTCAAATAAAACCAATCTGTTGAACTAACCATTATGCCTGCTAAAAAATAACACAGGTCTTACAGAGCCCTTTTCCCACTACACAATGGGTATATGTGTATGCATTCATGATGTAACATTGGGGAGCTATATATTTTAAAAGCATCCAGGTCAATATTGATCCAATAATGACCTCGAGGATAGCAGTTTCTCTGTTCTAAACTGACTTCTTTAAGTTTACAGTCTCAGCCCATGTGTCTACATCATTTCCTTGCTTTCCTCAAAAGTACCAAGAATAAGACTTTCAGATGAATGTCATCTGCTTTTGATACAGGAAATATTTAACTGAGCACCTAGACAGGAACTCAGATGCTTAATTTTTAGAATCTAAATTTACCAGAGATTGTTACAGCTATTGTCATTTTAGGATTTGTTTACACATGTTTCTATGGGTTATTAAAGAATAGCCCTTCTTCTTGAATATACTACAGCAACCAATTATAATAAAACTGCTTTAAAGAATCAGGAAAGGTACCTACAATTAATTCTAAATTATATTTTTAAGATGACTGTCTTTGATTTATTGAAATTGCTCTTTTCTTCCTTTTGTATGGTCCTTTCAGAAGTCCTCCTTTGCTAGCAGGACAATCCCAACTGAAGACCTGTCAACCTCACAATCCGATTAGCTTTCTGAAAGTGTAACTTTCATCAGTACTGTTTCATTCTCTCTGCCACCAGAAAAAAAAATATTCAACTAGCTGTGCAGTGTTGAGACTGTTGGTTTATCAGGGACTGCCGTCTGAAAGCTGAGGATGTTTAGTCTCCAGTTTCATTTTGCGTCCTCATTACCAGCTGCCTGGTAGTAAAGTCATGGATTTCGTCATTCATAAAGAAGCAACAGTGCTAGTTGCCAGTATCTTGAAAAATGGTCATACCGTTCATTGTAGCACATCACCACAAGCAACGCTGGCAGCTTGGCTTTGCATCCCTCTCATCCTTCTCAACCACTGAATAAACTGTTGAAAGACTAAGAAAAGCTGTTATAAAGAACATACAGCAGGTGGTATGGCCTGTGTCCCTTAGTCTCCAGCCCACATAATTTGCCAGTCAGTTGTGGAGAATTAAAGTGCGACTCAAAGGCATGGCTGGAAAGAGAGAGCATGGGTTTTGTCATAAAAAGGACCCTGCTTTTTGGTGAAGGAAGGAAGCAGGAAATTCATTAGTAAAATAACAGTGAGCAAAGGTATTTCTCAAATTTAAGGTCACCTAAGATAATTTAGATTTATGTTTTTTATTTTTTTATTATTTTTTTTTCCTCTTAGTATTTACTTTGCTTCACCAGTCTTGATGAGAAAAGGGAATTATATGCTTTATTGGGTGATGACTGAGAATCCACTCCCTTGCCAGCTGTGTGCCCCTAGGATAGCTACATGAGATGTGAACTGTAAGAAAACCACATTAATAAATTTCAGTTGAACATTCACCACTAGGGCAGAAGGGGTGGGGGGTTTGGTCACCTAACACAATGTTAAATTTTTTTTTGTCCTCAAACCTAATGAAAAAACAGACATAATGCAATATGGTGCTTGTAGACTTTTTTATTGAGTTCATTAAATTGGAGGCACTTATCAGCATCTGATTAACACCAGCTAACCTTAGCACAGTGGGCTCATGGGTTTTGCTGAAACCAGTCCCAAGCAGGGAAAGGGTGAGCAGAGAGAAAAGCAACTCATAATTCATGACAGAGCTCTAGAATTTACCACAACACATTGAACAGTGCTCTTCTAGTTCTGTCCTAGCAGAGAGGAAGAGAGCTGAAAGGGAAGATGAAAAAGTAGGAGAGAGAACTTGATAGAGATACGCAGAAAAAGGAAATTGTGAATTGGTCAAAAGATGTCTGCAGTCTTCCCCTAATCATTGTGAGGGGCTCCCAAAATCTAGCCCTGGACCTCATTTATTTTGTGTTCCAAAAATCTAGCCCTGGACTTCATTTATTCTGTACACAGGAAATAGCAACAAGATTGGAAAAACATTTTAATTGTGATCATCTGAAAAACTGCTTTGGAGTTTAATCTCCCATTAATGATGATTGTTTGAAGAAAATATTTAAAATTGTCTGTTGTCTGCCTCTAATGAAAATTTTTATGGTCAATCTGGATAAACTTTTATTGTTTCATTTCTCATCCTATTCTTGTATAAAGAATATATATTTACATATACTTAATATATGTGTATACTTAATATAGATCTATATAATGAATGCATACATACAACTAAGGATGTACCCAGTTGCTGTTGGATCCAGACTTTGGTGTATGTGTTACAGGCATGCACAATTTTTGGAGAGTAATAGCCCTCTCTGGTAGTGTATAATTACTTATCTACCACAATACTGATACTGGAGATAAATTGAACATATAGGTACTTTAAACAAATAACCTGGATTAATTCTGCAATCCACCTCTGTTTGGACATATCCTCTACTATTTTAAAGAATGGAGTAAAGATATCAGACTGAATTCTAGTCAGCCTTTCTTTTGTTTATCATTTCTTCCTGTAGCCTAAAGCTTTGGCAACTTCCAGTGTATTCAAAAGCAAAGCAAAACCCTCTTTTTATAGTAAACATAACTCCTGATCTGGTGAAGAGTCACCAGCAGTGGGGGTTATTTTAATGGACATGCTGTATTACTTTAATCTAAGCCTTTCACCATCTGTTCTGCCTATAACAGTGAATGCAAAAAGAACATATTTTACATTTCAGGATTACATTAGTAAAAAGTAAGATAAAAGTGATTTAAAAGCATGCATATGTTCTTAGTACAATGCTGCCTGCATCTGTGATGTTTTTTCTCATGGTTAAGACACAAATCAAGAGGAAAGCTGCTAATGCTGTTGTAGTGAAAGTTTTTCATGGAAAAGAGAGCTCTGAGAGGGTTTCGCTATATATTTAATGTTTCTAATGATAAAAACCTGAGTAGGCTGCCAGAAAATTAGATAACTATAACATCTATTGTTTGAACATCTGGCAGTGTGTGTAGAGCAGGCTGCTGTTGCTGTGTATGACAGGATGAGTGGTCCAGCCAGTGAGACACCTGTAGGAATGAGAGGTCAGGCAGAAGAAAATCACCCAAGAAATACTACAGTTGTCTTCTGGCTTAATACACTTCTATTGGCTCCCTTAAAGAAAGCTTTTATTAGACATGGAATTGATACTTTCCTATTTTCATTTCTAAAGTTTTTCTTGGAGTAAAAAGAGCATTATTGATGGCACAAAAGCTCCTTTCTGTGTCAGTGCTAATCCTGCTGGTGTGTTCTCACTGCAATGGTACACTGAATTAACACTTTGGAAGATATTTCTAGTATCTTGAGGTGCTAGTTCAGACTCCAGGATCAGCTGGAGGACCACTTAATTCATTTATTGTTGTTCTTTATGCTAGAAGATGATTCAGAAACCACCTGAAGTGATTTCAGATGTTGCCTGTCTGAAGAACTTCATCATATTTAAGTTCAGTCTGGCTGGTTAAACTTTGTCAAAAACAAAGACAATACATTCTATGTGAAGGCAAAAATTAGCAGGAAGGAAAACATTTCTGTTGAGGTAGAATGGGATATTTTTTTTAAATAAACCTCTTTCACTAATTTTAATTGGCCAGAATTTTCATTAAATCAAATTCTGTTTTCTATGGTCTTTCATCACTTGACATATGGGAGCCTAATTTTGACTTGAGAGATAGTATTTCCACTCCCATTTCAGCAAAGTAGTATCTTTGATCATCCTTTCATTTCTCCCCCCATCATCTTGTCATGCATGTCCGTATTTGGAGTCTCCACCTGTCAACATCAGATTCCCAGAAGAGACAGTCGTAGGATTGCAGCAGTAGAGGCAGCTTGATGGTGCCAAATTGAGATGTGATTAGCTTTAAAGGGAATTAGACATATTTTTGGCCTATGTCTGCTTATGTTCTACCTTAAGAATAAGCAGTCATATCAAACATTGGTAGACAATGTGGGCCACAAACAATTCACTGTGTTAATTTAATTCTATCCATGGCCTAGCAGCTGCTGCGGGTCAGATCTCAAATAATCATCATTTACATCAAGTACAAAGAATATGCATGAAGTATTGTTGGTCTTGACTACATGGTTATATGACATTACATGGTGCATTTCTGACACACTGGGCACGTACACTTTGAAATGTTTTCCCATTCTTGGAAAGGCCTGTGCAATTGAATCCTTTGTGGTTAAATTCAAGATTAAAAAAAAAAAAAAGTGTAATTTTTCAGTTTAATGAGGAAATTTCCCTCAAAGAAAGATAAGTTGGACCCTGATGTATCCTTAGAAACAGAGAAGTAGTAGAATAATACTTATAAGAGCCAAATGAACTTCAGAATTTTCAGTTTGAAAGAATCATTGGAATTTATTAACATCATAAATTGTAAACAAAATTAAATATTTATAATAAAATATTCAAAAATATTTTTCTTCGTCCTCATGAAAAAAGTACATATTCTTAGTTTTGCTGTGAATAAGAAAACAAATCATTTTTGAACATTTCTATACTTAAATTTATGCATATATTACATTATGTTTCTGTTTAAGTTTTTAAATTAAAAAAATATATAGTTTATAAAAATCAAATCCAAATCCAAAACTTTAGCTAAAAATAATTCTAAAAATAAAAACAGGTACAAAAATGTTTTGTTTTTTTTTTTTTGGTTGTGAATTTACATGTTAACTAAAATTTAAGAGTTAAAAAGTTTGTTAATTGTTTCTACTTTTTTTTTTAAATTATTTTAAACTTCATTTAACCTATATATTTTGTCAAAAAATTCGGTTCAGTATTTTTAAACATTTCTTTGTGACTAAGTAGTCTGAAGACTAGAGTTCAGAAAGGGTAATAAAAGAGTTCAATTTCTAATAGGTCAGGAAATATTATGATGGCTGAATAAAATTCCTAGTTAACTTATGATGAGTTACTGGCATTTAAAAGAACTCTTTCATGGCTATGTAACTATCTTAACTCCATCCACAATCGGATTTATTCTTTCATTATTAAAACTTTGCAATCAATATGGTGGTACTAGCTTGCTGGCCTTCTCCATATCTACCAGTAGGTTTTTTGCCTATGGGTATTCTTCTGTCAACTAATAACAAAATACAATTGAGCTCTTCAAAGCCACAGCTCTTTCTTTCTTGCCTTTAAATAGCCTATATTGTTAACAAACAGTATTCACAAATATGAACTGGAATCTGAAGAAATACCCAATTAAATGCCAAAACCGAAGTAGTTCCAAGTACTGATGTTGCACAGATGGTTTAAGTTTCTGTAAGTCAAACATCTGGTCAGTACTTTTGAGTGGTAAGTGCATAAAACCTTGATCCTGGCTGATAATGAGGAGTTTCATAGCAACTCAATCTAATGAAAAGGAAGGTAAACTTATGTTTTTAGGAGAGAGGCCTAATGCCTATTAAAAAGAAAGCAGAGTGGGCATCTGGAAGGTGAGTGATGGAATGGGAGAATTCCAAAGTCTCATGCTGTAATACATTGATTTGTGACATGAGTATGCGATACTGAAGAGGTGAGCATGTACAGCTTTGGTCTCATCCCACTCCATAATCATGGGTGAAATTGATTTAAAGATGTTCCATGAAATTTGACAGTTCCAATAAATAAAGAGATTAAAAACTGAGATAACTAAATCCTAGGAGGTTTAATAAGCTGCTTTTTTTTTCTCTCTCTTTTTTTTTCTTTTCTTTTTTTTTTTTCTTTCCAGAAGGTGTCCAAAAATTTAAAACATTCATCAAGGTTATTTATAATTTTGTGATATTGTACTTAACCCTTCTGTCAAAACAAATGTTCATGCTCCTATTCTGTTTACTTTCCCAACTGCCTGCTAACTTCTTCTGTGTTGGGAGGTCTTTGCTTAAGCAAGGGTGCCAAAATGCCCTCTGCCTGATTTGGCTAACAGTTTCCTTTTCTGGAAAATAGTTGCTTGATTTTTCTTGTTCCCACATTGCAACAGATCTGTGATTTTTAGCTTTCTACTGATCTACTATCACTTTGGGACTTTACTCTGTAGTAGTGTTGGGAGTCCCAGCATCTATAGGAAGCTTTCTTTTCCTTAACAATAGGTGGAAAAAATTTCCAAGATATCCCAGGTAAGGAAGAAAAACACGGAAAAGAGATGGGACCATTGAAAATATAACTGGCAAACACATTCAGTTTCAATTTGACATGAGAGAATGCTCTGGGAGTGGTGTTATTTTAAAAGCATTTTGCAGAGGAGCCTTGCAGCACCATTGCTGAACATAAGCGCTGGCTTTCAAAGCAATAAGAAAAACCTGGACATATTAAAAAAATATTGAATTGCAACATTGATGTTGGTGATCCTAATATCACACATCATAAAGGAGACGGCTATTAAGGGTTGACATGGGATGTTTTAGACTTTCACGAGGTCTGTCCTGTCATCTGTGAGCTCATTACAGGGTGTTATACAGGAAAAGATGAGGAGTCTAATCAGAAGGTGCAGATGTGTGGGCATGCTCATGGAAAACGCCCTGTCACATGCATAATCTGTCTTTTCAGTGCAGTTATTTGCAGATTTCATCCAGGCCTAGTAATTTCTCTACTGCTTCTCTTGTTTTGCAGTATTCTGGATTTCACACTGAGAGATCTGAATCTGACCACGAAAGCCAGTGGGGTGGGAGCCCCCTAACTGATACGGCTTCTCCCCAGCTGCTGGAGCCCACGGACAGACCGAGCTCCCAGCACCATGATGTCTCCTGTGCCTACAGACAGTATTCGGACCGCAGTGCTCTCTGCTATGGTTTTGCACTCGACCACTCCAGGCTGAGCGATGACAGACATTTCCATACTCAGGCCTGTGAAGGAGGCAGATGTGAAGCTGGCAGATACTTCCTTGGCACGCCACAGCCTGGGAGGGAAGGCTGGTGGGGCTCTCGGTCAGCCTTGCCCCTGACTAAGTCATCCCCTGAAAGCAGAGAAGCGTATGAAAACAGTATGCCCCACATAACTTCAGTGCACAGGATTCATGGTAAGAGATAATGGGATATGCAGAAGTGGCACCATCTCAGATAAAGCGACAGTTTCAAAGTCATGGCATAAACACGCATCTCTCTATGTGAGACAAAGGAAAAGATGCATGTTCCTCATGTTCCTGTCTCAGAGATCATGTGTATGGAAATGAGGAATACTTCCAATTCAAGTTAGCAGGCTGGTTTACATACAGCAAAATATAATTTGCTGCATATTTTTTAATCTGTGAAATTTAGGTGGGAACGCCTGATGGTGAGATCTAAAGGATAGTCTTAAAAATATGGATTAAATGATACACTTGATAGAAGAGCATTATTTTTGCACCTTAAAATCAATCTACATTGGATAGAACATATTTAGCACAAAATTAGCGATAACTACACCCAACCTATGTTTTTATGTCTCTATATGTATACGCTGCTTATTACTAGATTCAGTAATATTTGCTGCTTCTTATTAAAAATTGGCAATTCAAATTAACATTTGCTCTAGTTTTTAGACATATATTCCCACCTGTAATTCCTAGTTGATTTGAGTCTCCCCATCTTTTCAGCACCAAGCCTGAAGCTTTGCTTGGTGTCTAGCCTGCTGCACCCTCAGTACATTAGCATGGATTCAGAGGCTTAAACTGATGAAAAATGCATTGGTAAAAACTGATAATGTGTTTCGAAAAATACAACGATGCTCAGGTTTAAAGGATAGGCTGAGAGTTGAAAGACTGCAGCTGACCCCAAAATCAGAGCTAAAGTTTATAAGGATCGATGTAAAATAATGTTTTTCTAGTAAAATAATCTGTCAATAATCTGCCAAACATAGGTTATATCTAAAGAACTCATAAGAGATAATTAAATTAGCACAGTTATTGGCTTGCAGAACAGGGCTTTTGGAGATCAAGAATAGCAAGTTCTAGGAAATGGAGGACAAACGATGAAAGAGAGGGAGCCCTTAGTTTTGTTGCTCAATACTGTTCTGCACTTTTCCTTTTAAAACATACCTCCGTCCTTTTCCTTGTGACTGTTCTGTTCTTTCATATTTGTGTTTATCTAGTGATTTTGTTATTTTTTTTTAAAGGAATATCATACAGAGATAAAAATGTAATGGTGATAGATATTTATTCTATTAAGGTTAATCAATGCAAGTGGATAATAGAATTTTGATTTTTGTTTGTTCCTTGGCTTTGCTGTAATTCCAGGTGCTGCAATTTTATTTTATTTTTTATTATTGTATCAAGCCTTATATGTTGTTTCAGTGGGCCTTCAGACTGCATGTAGCTTTGGGGTGAAACCTGACACATTAGTCTCAATTCAGAAGAGGAACACCTGAGTCTCCCTTGAAAATGTGCCATTTCCGTTTTGCTTTATGCAGTTCAAACCTTTAACAAATTAAACCGTTTTTGACGATTGCATGTGAACTTTGCTGTCAGAGCAGTTTCTTTAGGTAAAGAGTGCTTTTCTTCCTTTTCTGTTCTTTTAGTGCATCTTCTGGTAGTTCTGGCTTCTGTTCACCTTACTATGATACTTGTTTGACCATTTTGGGAGGCCCTGGATGTTGTCTATGAGTCCATGCATTTCTGGTCACCCTTGGGAAGTCTGGTGCACTGTGAATGTTGTTTATGCAGTGAGACATACAGAGCACATGGTGTGAAGCTGCTAACGACCCCACATAGCAGGAGAGCTACTTGTGTGAATCTGAAAATGGTTTTCCTTTGAGCATTCTTATCAACCAATCCCATGGGAACCATCCCCAGAGTGGACTTTGTATGTGCTAAGGCCAAGGCATTGCTGAGTAATTTAAGCAAGTCCAACACATGCCCTCCTGTGGGCACATATCTTAGCAAATCCTTTATCAAACCTTTTATTATGGTGTCTCCTTAGTTGGCTGTTCATGTGTGGGGTCAATCAGTTTCTTCCTAGTGAGGATTGACAGGTCTGATTCTGTCCTTTCAGCTACATGCAAGCTGAACACCTTCTCTGATATGTCTATGGGCCTTATTATTTAAAGAGAGGTAAGAATAGTCATATTTTCCTGCTCTTATAGTTTTTACAGCAAATACCTCTGCACTGGGAAAGGACATCACATTTTTCCAGCAAACCTGCCAGCAGTGGTGTCCTTATGCTTCTTAGGAAGGTTACCTGTTTTACTGCTTCTGCTTGTTTATTGTCATGCAGCTTGTGTAAAGTCACTACAGGGCCAGAAACTATGCCACAGTGCTTTCTCTATGATTTATCTTCTGGAAAGGACTAGGAAGAGACACATGTAAATGATCTACACAAAGTTCCTTGAGATTTGAGTTTTCACCACGGTCCTTGGACTTGATGCAAGGATGTTGATGCAAAGATTTAGTGAGGGGTTGGGGGCCTGAACATTGCTGTAAAGTGCACTTCAACATGCCCTAGGGCATCCTGCCTGGCCACTAGCTGCTCTGGAAGATACAGAGCTCCTGTAGAGTCTATGCCATACCTGCTGGGCCTATGCAGATGTGTGGTTACCCTAGAGCATCTCACATGGCATTAAATGTCTGTGTTTATGTGCTTAGATCGCTTTTTTTTTTGTGTGTGTATTTTCAGCTGTGTTACTTGTTCTGCGTGCAGAAAGTTACTGGAAACTAGAGGCTGTCACCTGAAAAGCAAGGGCTCTACCATAGTCATTTCTGGTGACTTTGTTGAGTCACTTACCTATTTCTTGGTTTTCTGTCTGCAAAATGAGGTTCAGAGTACTTGTTCTTTAAGATTGCTTGCCTTCTTTGACCTCAGTGCTTGTCCCCTTTCTCTCTTTCCTAGGGAGAGGACACTGGGATGAGGACAGTGTTGTTAGCTCACCTGATCCTGGCTCTGCCAGTGAATCAGGTGACCGTTATCGTGCTGAGCAGTATCAGAACAGCCCACATGAGCCCAGCAAAATTGAAACTCTAATAAGAGCCACCCAGCAAATGATAAAAGAGGAAGAAAACAGACTACAGCTACGGAAAACGACCCCCGATCCACTGGTCTCCATTAATGGCACAGGGAAGAAGCATGCTATCTGTTTTGCAAACTACCCTCAGCAGCAGCTGGCAGGTGATGTCTGCCGCATCCCAGCAGTTGCCAACACTCCACCCTGTGAACACATCCAGCAACGAGATGGAAAGATTATGAGCCCACATGAAAATGACTATGACAACAGCCCCACAACACTGTCTAGGATAAGCAGTCCCAGTTCTGACCGAATATCAAAATCTAGTTTGGTACTAGCTAAAGACTACCTGCATTCAGACATGTCCCCTCATCAAACCCCAGGGGACCACCCAGCAGCATCTCCAAATTATTACAGCTCCCACAGGCAGTACTTTGATAAACATGCTTACACATTAACTGGATATGCCCTGGAGCATCTATATGACACTGAAACCATTAGAAACTATTCATTAGGCTGTAATGGATCACACTTTGATGTGACTTCTCACCTAAGGATGCAGCAAGATCCAGCACAAGGACACAAGGGGACATCTGTTATAATAACCAATGGAAGCTGACACTTTTTTCTAAAAACTTTTGTGCTTTAAAAAATAACCTTTGAGACCTAATTGGAAGATATTATATGTTTTCATGCCCTTGTCATTACCAGCATTTGATATACCACAGTGCACTAGAGAATAACCTGAGGTTTGGGGGGGATATGTTAAGTTAACAAACATTACTTTAAAAAAAAAAAAATGCACTGGCTTGCAGGGTTAGAGGGAATGGAGCTAAACTCAAAGTTGGTGAGGTGAAAAGGATGGAAAACAGCTAGGTAGGGAGCACTTGGGCAGGGTAGCAGAGCTATTTATGTACACTGTGTAAGAGGTGGTTGTTTGGAAACACTGCCAAGGGCAGGCCTTGTGAAATGCATGGAAACCACAGGTCCCAGACAACAAAACTGCTATGCACTCTTAACACAGAAAGTTGGAAGGTGTTCCTTTGAAATACACATCAAAATGTGTACTTCTGGTGATCTTTTTATTCTCTAAAGGCCAAGTGTGTTATGCTACTCCATGGTATAAAGCATCCATGGCTAACAAATACAAAATCAGAAAGGGAAGAAATAAGGAAGAACTCCTCAGATGTGTTATTTCCATGTGTACCCACATGCCCAGCTATTGCATACACTTGATCTGAAAGGAGTCAAATAAGCAGTATCCTTATAATTAGTGTGATCAAATATTTACTTCTACTGTATTTAAAGGAAAGAAAGAGAGCCTTTCTTGGTGTTGTTTTGAGAAATGCATAGGTCTTGGTTGTCTTGATAGAGACATGAGAGATTGTCCTCATATATTTGAAAGGTTGCACAAGGAGGGAAGTGGAATGAAATGGAAGAAAATCACTGGGAGAAACAGGGTGAATTGGGAGTGGTTCAATATAAAAGCGTTTAACCCTATGGCTATGTATGCCATGTACTAATAATTCCAATATAAAGAACAGTGATTATAAGTGGCCACATAATTAAGAATTACTTTGAAACACAGAAAAAAATCAATAGAATCAGATTTTTTTTTCTATTAAAAAAAAAAAAGTAACTATGTAAGTGTAAGAATTTGGCAAGAATAGACAAAAAATGTATGGTGGTTCATCCTAATTTTGATAAAATTTTGGAGTAAATTAAGAAAACGTGGAAGATTGTTAGCACTCTGACATACAGTGAAGTAATCAGTATGACTTTTTAAAAGGAATATGCATTCTTTTCTTTCTTGCAGCGGAAAATTTAGTGGATATCAGAACACGTTAGGAGTATCAAAATCAGTAATATGTACATAAAATATACTGAGGAAAATCAGGGTTCCAATAAATTCAGTTGCATTAAAAAAGTTGATATTATTGTGGCCTGTATTAGACTCATAGAAGACATCAAAAGAGGCAGAGAAATTTTTTGCAATTTTTAATAATCTCATGAACAAAGAGCCACTAATTGTTTGGAAAATATTCAATTAAAAACATATGCTAAAAAAGTAAAATAGGGTGTTTGTAGGCACAGTTACTGTACCTGTCCTTCTTTGTATGGCATTTATGTGATGTTTCAAGGTTGACTGCAACAGGAGCAGGACCACCACTCCTTATTATATCAAAGTGGAGGCAGGGGGACTTGAGGAGGTTACTAAAATGAAATTAGCAATAAGTCTAGCTTCATTTGTAGCATTAAGAATTTCAACATATGGGATTGAGTCATCAGTGGGACTAAATATATACCAGCATGCTACGGGTGGGTTAAAAATATCTATTTTCAAATAAAACTAATCAGAAGCAAAAGCTAAATAATAACATTATAAGCCACGTAAGTAGGGATGTACTTGAAAGTAGAGGAAATTACCTCTCTGAACTTGGAATATTGTGCATAGTTCTGATCACTCCAAGGCAGATTGTGAATCTTGAATTGAGTAGTACCTTACTCCATAAGCAATCTCTGTTGACTGCAGTGTGATCACTCCTGGTGAAATGTACGTTGAACACAAGGAAGAGCAAAACAGTCTGTTCTTTATTATCTAAAGCTCATAATAGAAAAGGTGGAGCAGAGCTCAGCAAAAAGATAAAGAGACTGAAAGATCTAATAAAAACTTTAAATAAACTGGGTCTGTCATCTTTGTAAGGGAGAAAAGTAAGGGGGAATGTCACTGGTGTGCACCAAGCTCTGCACGGAGGAGAGATAAATAATGGTCTAAAACTATTTGAACTAGCGACAGAAATGAGAGACAGGGCATTGAATGTTAGCCAAAACAAAATGAGAACAAAATGATTTGGCAAGAAGTGTATTTGACTAACTGCCAAATGAATAACAAAGGTCATAAAGAGAAGCAGCTAGGGATTTTTGTTTGTTTGTTTGTTTTAAGATAAAAACAAGGAAAGTAATTGAGAGGAAGAAAAACATTGACAACTGTTAACTTAGAGGAGGGAATGGACCAAAATGGACTCCTTTCAGCCCAACAATTGTATATATTCCTAAAGAATAGGAATGACAAATTATTTTTGATAAATCTAGTTCTGGATACACTTATTCCTATGAATAATATGGATAAACTTGTATTTGGAATTTCATTGTACAGTATTCAAATACAATTTGCAAAGTGAATTAGAGTAGAGGTACATGGTATCATATTATCCCTACCTAGTACATATAAAAATAAGTCTAAGTCTCAATATTATTTCGTATAACAGAGGAGTTTCCTAAACTGTTTCGAAGAATGGGATTTTTGTCAGCACTTACGTTTATCACCAAGCACTCAGGATCACCAAGTGCTTTTTTTTTTACCAGACTTTTAATGTGAAAGGTTCTGCAGTGCAGCTGGAGCACCGTGGCTCTGATCTAATGTCCACAAGTAGTGAGGAGAGGACAGTTTGGGCACAGCTATATTCGCATCCTGACAGGCACTTAGTAAAAACACTCTTACAAAGCAGACAGGCACAGTATAGGACACTTGTATTCTATACAATTTCATCTAGGAGAAAAGCTAGTGTGCTATGCAATAAAAAATCCCTATTGTTATTTACCTTAAGCCCAAAATAAAACTTTCCAAATTGTTGTTTTTTATCCTATTTTAACAGTCCCAGTCCACACCAGTAAGAAATGTAACCAAATGCACTGTAATAAACAGGATACCTGATATATCAGTAGGTGGAAGGGTCCATTCCTGCAGCCGTGTTGTGCTACAAGCAAGGGCTGATACTCATTTTCCTCCTGGGGTTTCAGTAATTTTTGCTAACTACTACTTCAGTAGGGTCTCTTGGAGGTAGATACGTTTTGTTAGCTAATTTGCCCTCCTGCTTCTTTAGGTAGCCAGGAATTTCTTCCTAACTGACAGAAAGCATTGAATGTTTAAAACACAGGCTCTGCATGCTACATGCTACATGAACGCAAGTTTGCAATCTTAATTATAACATATAATATCACTGCAGCTCATATAACATGTACTTTTCAATATGATATAAAGCTTATTTTTTCAATTGCATATTTATTTAATTCAAATTTTCATTTAGTATCCTTCAAGGATGTAGTCTTCTCTCTCTCTCTCTCTCTCTCTCTCTCTCTCTCTTTTTATTCTTTTTTTTTTCCCTTGCTTTTCTAGATCAAATATTTTGGAAAATTGAAAAATGCAAGGCATTTGTACCAAATACATTTCAAATGTATCATATTAGGTAAAGGTTAGCTTTAAGCAGGTATGTAAGTTGTGAACTGGTACAAGAACAATATAAATTGATGTGTTGCATTGTTTCTCTAACATAATAATGTTTTGCTATTAACACCAAATTAATATTTTCTAGCTACTCCAACTACAGAGTGACCACAAATCTTTCAAATAATTTCTTGTTGGCATCAGTGGATGGTGCATTATGATATAAGTGTCTCTTTTTTACTTAAAGAGGCAAAAGAAACTTTTTTTTTTTTTTTTTAAATAAAAAATTTCACCCCAGAGGCACAGAGTTTGCAGTTGTGGACAAATCTGCACAGCAATTCTTTAGTTAGAAGAAGAACCTTACTCAGCAATTTCTCCCATTGACTCAAATGGGAATATTTGTGGAGTAAGGTACTACTTAATAGACGTAAGGGTAAAAAAAATCTGACTTGTGAGCTAGCAGGTTTGGGGGTGGTTTCTATTTTGTTTTATTTTGTTTTGTTTTTGTCTGTGTTTTGTTTTTGAACCTCAAGATGTGAATATGGAAACTATGAAAGATAATAGCTGTAATGGCCATGTTTCTGTAATAGAGACTATTTATACGTGCTTTGGAAAAATGAGCGCATCTCTGCTGCAGAAGAGACTCGGAAGTGCTTCTTAAGCTTTATATGGCTTTGTTGATGTGCCCGCAATACTGCCACAGGTTACACAGTGAAACTCTGCTCTTTCAAACTCTTTTAATAACTCTTATCTGATTCTCATTTTTATCTCTGGACTTGCAGCATTTGTTCATTAATGTCCCTAAGTATGTTAACCACCATATGTTCAATTATGTGAACATCCTGTTGGGGAGAAACAAAACACGGTCACACAGTATTTTTGGAAAAGGCACAGTCACTCCAGAAAATCAGTCCCAATCAGCTGTTGGGAAGGCCAGTTAGCCTTTCAGTCAAGGAACAAAACTATGGTGTACACTTTGATTTCAGACCTTCTGCATAGAAAACTCTGTTAGGAGGATTATAGAATATGGTCCCAGGATTAGGCCTAGCTATGTCTTATTTTAAGGTTGCTGTAGTTGTCGGCAAATGGATTCAGGCTCTGGCATTTCCATGAGTTGCAAATTTACTTAAAACACATAAAGGGCTAAAGGCAATACAAGCTTTGTTATCAGGAACAATAGTGGATGAACATACTTTTCTGTAGGTATATTGGATGATCTCCAGATAGCTACACTGTATGGAGGAGAACCTATGTTATTTTATTTGCAGGTAATACTGATGGTTAAATATGGTTCAGTGCTGTGTGCACTGAAAAAAAAACAACCAACCAACCAACCAAAAAAAAACCAAAAACAAACAAAAAAACAAAAAAAAACCTGCAAACCACAATAACAGCAGCAGCACCATCACCAGCCCCAGCCCCCAAATTTAAAACAAGTAAAAAAACATTTTATTTTTTTTTCTGTAACCCGCTGGTTTGGCGCTAGTAAAGCCTATTAGAGATGTAGATGAGGGTTTAGCAAAGTGTTTTTACAAAGTTGTTTTTTTAAAGAAAAAAATAATTAAATAGTCTTCTGCTTGGAACAGTGAGAGCACTAGTATGACTCCATTTCACATTTCCTTTGAGCATTTATTAATGAAAAAGATTATGTGAGGTTAAACTTCACTGTGGCATTTATCTTATGTGTACAAGAGTCCTGTGGATAAATCTGGCTCTAAATTCCTAGGAATATGTCTCTTTCTGAAAAGAAAATCTATGACTATCTACAAGGCTGTATATGAAAACAAAGATCAAATACACAAAGATTTTTGTCTGGTTGTGTTCACTATTTAACTCTCCTCACATGGAATTCTCATGATTCCCTGTTGTTTTTAGGATTAAAAATACAATTTTTAAATATTTCTATTTACTGCAGTTTGGACTGCATGTGATTTTTTTTTTTCCATATACCAATACAGTGGGAAGTTTGAAAATGCAAGAAATAGTCTTGCTCACACATTGGCACCTTTGCATTTCTAAGGAAATAGAGTCTATTAGGAAAAGATATTTTAGCACACTGCAACTTTTTCCCAAGGTAAATATTTCAATGAATAAAATATGCTAATCTATCAAAAAAAAAAAAAAAAAGAAAAGAAAAAGAAAAGAAAAATTAAAGCACTTGAGACATACTGAAGCATTTCATGTTTGCTTTAAACCAATGGGTTATATTTATGGAAAAAAAAGACAAAGATTGCCAGCATTTTAAATACCATGCCTTGCAATGTATAGGGTTCAGTGACATTGTAGCATAACATCTGTAATTTGAAGTTTTCCTTTGGAATGTAATGTAGGAAACACAATTTAGCTATGTCAACAATATCTTGCAAAGTGTTCCCATTTATAATTATTTATATTGTAAATAGCTTTCTGAAGTAAATTTGAAGTTAATGTGCATAAGATGTATTTATTATGTGAAGATTTTTTTGGTTTAAAATATAGCTACCAATATGCAATTATTGTCTGTTTTTCTACATCTTTAAATTAAGGACTGTCCTGCAGAAGACTTTTTTTCAGGAATTAATTTTAATTAATGAGTCTATTTCTCAGACTTGGGAGGGTACATGGAAAAAATCACTTTGATCACTTAAATCACTTAGTTTGATACCTGTGAGTTCTAAGTTTATCAAAATTGGGACACGGAAAATATACTGCTACCCCATTTAAGAAGGATGTCTGAATCCCTTCAAATATTACTCTGTCAGGAAGAGCTGACTCACAGGAGCTAAATCAAGGTTATTTGTCTTCTCTGTGAATACTCTTGTTTCTCGAAGCCAAACACCACTTCCTTGCCTCAGCTAAAACAGCTTGCTGACTTGGAGCATAGTGCCACTTAGGTGCTTAAAATAATATACTCAGACAAAGAGCAGTGTTGTGACAAAGGAATGGGTGAGAAGTTGTGTTAGATTGCATTCAGACCTGAGATGGCTATTACCTGGCCTTGCATACCTGTACAGCTCCATCAAGCCATAACAATGTGAGATGTTGTGCAACAGCAATATAGCCACTGCACCCTTGCCTGGTCTGGGGTGTAGGATCTTTTTGGCTGGGGGGGTTCAGGGTCACAGCTCTCACTTTCTAGACCAGTCTTTAAGCACACCACCATCTCAGTCATTCTTATTGAAGCTCTTTCCTGCAGATGAACAAATGTGAGATTGATGGGGCTGGTGGGTAGTGGGAGCCTGGTTCTGCAGCTGGGTGAGAAAACAGCTTTCTCAGGTAAAGAAGTGGTTGCTCACATATTTTTCATTCACAATAGTCAGAATAAAAACAAACAAACAAACAAAAAAAGAAAACAAAAACATAAACAGTGAGGACAAGAGAGAGGTGCACAGAAAAGTCAATTCAGAGTCTCAGATAAATTGTGTAAAAAAGAGATGCGGTTGTGTCACTGTGAAGACGTAGTCAGTTCTCAGAGACACTGCTGGGATTTGGGAAATTTCTGCTGTGTTGAGTTAGACGTTTAAACTTCATTTGTGCTTTCAGCATTTTATGTTGGATAGTTTAGGCAGTTCCCTTCTCCTTGGCCTGAATTTGGCCCTGGTTCTCCATGCAGGCAGGAAATGGTGTAATCTTTTCCCCAAGTGATGCTGCTTAGCTGTGCAAAACATGTGTTGCATTACTTTTCTTTTTTTTTTTTAATGTATGGGTGAAGGTTTTCAGAAATTCCCATTGTTTATGTACCTTTACCTCCGAAGCCCATGCTGAAAGAGACACTGAGGTCATAGGCCAACATTGTCCTTCATAGGTAGGCTGTAGTCCTAGTTGCTTCATGCTGAGCTGTACACACAAAACTGGGTGTCATCTTAGGTGCTGTGTGCTGAAAGTCCTGCAACATCCATGGTTGTTCTTCAGACTCCCTACTAGTGCATAAAAAGCACCCATTGCCCACTGGTTTTTATTCAATCTCCACTCTAAAGGTCATTGGCAAATTGCTCTGCATGGAGGAAATCTGCTGTCATGACCATTGTAATAAAAGTGTGTGATACCATCAGTAACTTCCTCTATCCCCATATGGTGGCCATCAGAGACTTCAGCATCAGCATTTTCATTTGATACAGCCTCTCTGACTGTCAGAAGGTCGCAGATAGCCTGGTGCTCTGCAGCCCAGTGTGCCTGTGGCTGTGAATAAAAAGGGCTATTCACCACAGCACAAAACCCAACAGACTACATGGGCTCTTCATGGATTTTAACAGGAGTTTCACTAGGCATGCACACAGTATACATGTATGCATCTCCTAATATTTTGCCTTGTTGCAGAGGGAAAGACTAGTATTCTTGACTTTAGACTTTTGTCTGAGCATAGAGGACAATGTCCTGGGCACCATTGCAACTTGCTGCACTTTACCGTCTCAAAAATGCTGGTGGGAAACCGTTTCATAAGAAGTGGGCAAAGCACAATGAGACATTAAGGGCTGCCTGCATATTAGTTTCTTGCCACTGCAGCAATTGGGCTTGGATCCCCTGAGTGACGTGTAGTCTTTAGGACGTGTGCGGCAGTGTGGTCCAGAGGCCAGGTGCAATGATTCGCATACATGAAAACAGCCGGACCTGACCAGCATCAAGCACTACACTTTTGCAGACATCTCTATCACTCTGCCCACAGTCTGTCACTATTTTTCTACCACAGTCCTCTCATTTTTGGCTACCCCATTATCCCTTCCATTTTCCTTTCCTCCCTTGTGTCCCAAGCCTTGGTTTAATTTGTGATTTCACAAATCCCATGATCTATCTTGCCCAGCAAGTGTCCTCCATTGATCTTGAAAACTGAGTTTCCTTTTAATGAGGAAAATTTCTATATGGCAACACTTTCCATCACTCACACTCCCCTTTCCCTTCCCCTTTTATATGCAGCTGGTGTGAACACCATACTGAGGACCCTGAGATCTTTTTCTCACAGGCATTAGTTCTGCTACAAGAAAGCTATTGGTTGGGGGAATGGAGGTGATGAACTTTTCAGAAAAGCTACAGACAAAAGATGATAGACGCCTTCAGCATACCAAATACACATGCTACTTTAGCTGCATTGCAGAATGTAGTCACTCTTGGCCTGTGAGCAGAAAACAAAGATGAAAACTGAAACTAGAAGATGTACGTTTTTACTGGGAAATAACAACAAAAGCTAATATAAAATGCACTTAAGATTTAAACTTAAAATTCTCATCCTTGCATGCTTGAAATTGTATGCAAATATTTGAATGTTCATTAATATTGTTCATCTCATCATTATGATTCATTTTTCTTAATTATTATTGCTACCTATATTTGTCACCTGTTTGTTATCTATACTTTTTTTCATCCATAAATTAAAAAAAAATCAATAGTAAAAATAATATTAATATAAAATGGAGATCAGAAACTTAGGTCTAGGAGATAAAACCCAAAGAGGATTGGCATATTCCAAGCTTTCAATGGACAACAGCTCCATTAATTGGTACTCAGGTAGTATGGTATCATGTCATATGGGGGCCGTCTTTCATTTCCAGCAATATTACTAGAGTTATTAATATGGCATATTTAGAAAGCTGTGTTGGAAACAGATAAATTTGTACATTATCAAATGTGTTACTTTTGCTTTTGTTGTTGGTGTTTTTTTTTTTTTGTTTTTTTGTTTGTTTGTTTGTTTTCTGTTGGTGGTTTTGTTTTTGTTTTGTTTTTGAAAAGGAGAAACATGACAAAATGTTAAAGCAAGAAGCAAGTTGAAGGTGCTTTTTTTTCAAGCCGGACACTTTCTATTTCCCCTCAGGATGCAGTGCAAAGATAAAATCCCATGTGTGAATCTCAATGTTTCCACATCCATACTGGTGATGTGTCCTATGGAAGGGCACCAGGATGTCTGTGTGCTGAGCCTTTACGTTCTTTCCTTTTACTTTCACATCCATTTGGTGTCCAGGACGGGGAGAGCTAAGACTACAAACATCTTATGTAGTCAGAACACGAGACAAATCCATTTTTCATTTGAAGCTTCCTATTTTTGATTTTGACACAAGACATTTCATCAGGCTATGAATTATTTTTACAAAAGCAGGACCATGTCTAGTCTGTCTGGGTTCTCTGTGGGACAGTTGTAGCATTTTTATTTTTATTTTTTTTTAAGAATACCAGTGTGAGGCATCCTTTGTGTCTTTAGTTTGTAGTGCATCAGTGAGGTGAAAAATTCAGCATTAGTGTTGTGTCTATTTTAGTCAAGGGCACAACTGTACATTTTGACGTTATGTTTCTGCTTTTTCTTTAATCATAAAGGCAGAGCCTTTCTTCTGTGCCGCTTTCTATTTAACCTCCAGAACAACTGCAAAGTATTAGAATGACTCCAGTATCCTCTCCAGCATGAATGTTTCTTGAGCTCAAGAGAAATGCCCACAGTTTCATTAGGCTGGTTATCTGACAGACTGCTCATAGAAAACAGCTGATTCTTATTTTTTTAACTGAGCAGCTTTGGCTTCCTGTGATCAATCTTCCTGGCTGCAGCAGTAAATATGCTAAACTGCAGGTGCCAGCAAGCTTTGAGACAGTCTGAGGCATGAATGCTGACCCACAGTTGTGCTTTGTGTGTCATCAAACAGCCTACCTAGCATACAACTATTTGGCCTACTCGTTAAAATGGGTTTTTAACTTAATATGTGCTTATTTACTTATGGAATTAGATCCAGTGTGGGAGAGATGCAAAACAGCCAGCAGTTTAGGAGTTTAGTAAATAATCTAGGCTTTGTTCAGTTTTGCTCTGGGTCAGGCTGCTGCATGGAGTAATTCCATATGGCAACCTGATTTGAGCTCACTCAAAGTAAACCTTAAAGTGGATTTTGGCAAAATCCACACAGCCATCAGGAACCCATTCTGTTTCTGCTGAGGATTTCCTGATAGCTTTCTTCATTTAAAAAAAAAAAAAAAAGAAAAGAAAAAAAAAAAAGAAACAACAACAACAACACAAAGGCAACAGAAAAAAAGTTTGAAACTTTTTTACTGTCTGAAACCACCCGACACCCCCCTCATCTCCTCTACACCCTCACCCTTTCCCAAACCTAAACTATTAAAAAGCACTTTAGTCTGCTCTCATTTATGCCAAGAGCCATAGAGGTTAGGTGGTACAAACA